CAGCAGTAAAGTGCACTCGCTGGCAGAGCCAAACTGGGAATCCCTGGGATAAAATGTATGCCATTCCTACAAGTCAATATATATATATATATATATATAAATATATATATATATAGTACAGTAAGCACACAAGCTCACTGACATGTGCAAATAGGCTTACTGACAGACAAAACTCTCTGACTCACACACAAGCTTACTACAGACAAACTCACTTGTATAAACAGAAGGCTCACTACAAAGAAGTTCAGGGACACACACAAGCTCACTAAAGACAAGCTCACTGACACACACATGCTCACTAAATAGAAGCTCACTGACACACACAAGAGTACCATTTTAACAGAGTTAAGGGTCCCCGGGCAAAGCAATGCACTGGGGCCCTTCCTACACAACAACTCACAGGAATTTTAATTATTGATAGACTGCTGAGTCCATACACACACACACACACACACAGACTGCTGAGTCCATACACACACAGACACACACACAGACTGCTGAGTCCATACAAACACAGACTGCTGAGTCCATACACACACAGACTGCCGAGTCCATACACACACACAGACTGCAGAGTCCATACACACACACAGACTGCAGAGTCCATACAGACACAGACTGCTGAGTCCATACAGACACAGACTGCTGAGTCCATACAGACACAGACTTCTGAGTCCATACACACACACACACACACACACACACAGACTGCTGAGTCCATACACACTCACACCCACACACTGCTGAGTCCATACACACACACACACACACACACACACAGACAGACTGCTGAGTCCATACACACACATACACAGACTCTGCTGCGTCCATACACACACACAGACTCTGCTGCGTCCATGCACACACACACACACACACACAGACTGCTATGTCCATACACACACACATTGCTGAGTCCATACACACACACAGACTGCTATGTCCATACACACACACAGACTGCTGAGTCCATACACACACACAGACTACTGAGTCCATACACACACACACACACACAGACTGCTGAGTCCATACATACACACAGACTGCTATGTCCATACACACACACAGATGGCTATGTCCATACACGCACACAGACTGCTGTGTCCATACACACACACAGACTGCTGAGTCCATACACACACACACAGACTGCTATGTTTATACACACATACACAGACTGCTATGTCCATACACACACACAGACTACTGAGTCCATACACACACACACACAGACTGCTGAGTCCATACATACACACAGACTGCTGAGTCCATACATACACACAGACTGCTATGTCCATACACACACACAGATGGCTATGTCCATACACGCACACAGACTGCTATGTCCATACACACACACAGACTGCTGAGTCCATACACACACACAGACTGCTATGTTTATACACACATACACAGACTGCTATGTCCACACACACACACACTGCTGAGTCCATACACACACACAGACTGCCATGTCCATACACACACACAGACTGCTATGTCCATACACACACACAGACTACTGAGTCCATACACACAAACACACAGACTGCTGAGTCCATACATACACACAGACTGCTATGTCCATACACACACACAGATGGCTATGTCCATACACGCACACAGACTGCTGTGTCCATACACACAGACTGCTATGTCCATACACATACACACAGACTGCTGAGTCCATACACACACACAGACTGCTATGTCCATACACACACACACAGACTGCTGAGTCCACACACACAGACTGCTATGCCCATACACACACACACACACACACACAGACTACTATGTCCATACACACATACACAGACTGCTATGTCCATACAGACACAGACTGCTGAGTCCACACACACACACACACACACACACACACAGACACACACATCAAGCCTACCTGTCACTGGAGGCTGTTGCTGGAGGTCACATAGCCAACATCTGCAGCAGCAAGGTCTGCTGCTTTACGGTGGGGGCGGGGCTTATGTGCGGGAGGCGGGGCTTTGTTTGGGGGCGGGGCCTGTGCCGAGGAGCCTGTCAGACAGCACCCACTGTTCCAGCCCCTCTGCCCTGCATTCCCTCGAGCTGTTACAGACTCACACACTGTTACAGTCTGAGGGAATAGAATGGAAGAACATGGCCAGCAAGTTGCCTGCATTTGGGAGGGCCCAAGTGGGGGTACAGCATGATGTAGGGGGGCCATGGCCCCCTCTGTCCCCCTTAGCGACGCCACTGTACCCAAGGGTGCAAGCAGCTGTTGGTGACACCGTTGACTCCAAGATCGGGAGTTTTGGGGGCCCTTTGGGTGATACAAAGCTTTGGAGAATGCGGCCTACTCGGGAGAGGAGCGGGGCAGACGGCCGCTGCCCTGTTTGCATGCCTGACAATCACACCAACGGCTGTGTGATACCCCTCACAGGCCCTGGTCCCCCCCCCATGGACCGGCAGGGGTTATCCCAGTCCCCACTGGAGGAAGCCGACACTGAGTGGGCCATCCGTGCAGAGATACTCAGCCAACGGACCTCAGCGCCCGACCAACAAGATGGCGGCCGCATGGCATACGCTGGGCCCGACTGCGTTACCAGCACTCATATGGCTTACTGGACCATGCCGCCCCAATTCTTAACCCTGGACTATTGTTGCTACTACAACCTGCTAAGCAGCGGAGCTGCCTCAGCTGACCGGCCCTCGTACAAGGCATCTAAGTCCGGTCCTAGCAGCTGCCAACCTGGGCCTAGAGCACCCTGACGACAACCCCCGAACCACAGTCCGACGACACCTCACCCGGGAATCCCGATATCTACCATCCATGGCAGGAGAACCGGAGGCACAGGTGACAGGCGCACATGGAGCACGGGACTGGCAACAACCCAACTTTTCACAGGGCTTGCAGGTCAGACACGAGGAGAGGCAGGAATGAGTCCGTAAGATCCAGCAGGACTGTCTATATGCCATCCGCGGCACACTCAGAGAATGGTGCCTGAGGGGCTGCGTGGCCTGCCTTGAGAGACTCCAGTGGCACATTTTAGCTTCAGTGCAACCTATTAGAATGCTCTCTTATATTAATTAACTTTGTCTTTTATTTTTCTCCACATTGGGCACGGTATAGCATGCTTATATGTCTCTAATGGGCTAAGTAATACTCCTACACCCATGGGCTTATAGCTATATGAGGTCAAGTATTATCGCCTGTCAGCGACCGCTGGGTTGCTCTACCTTATAACAGGCATCGGGATGTGTACCTGCAGGGTATCATTATTATAGCATACATAACCTGTCACTTGTCACACCCTGTTTCCCCAATCTTTAACTTGTACTTAACATGCGCCCAATAAAGTCGTACTGATGTTATGTCAGACAGATAAGCCTTAATCACATCACACATTATTCTCATAATTGGAAAGGAATTTCTCTTTGCACCCACTGTATAGAATCAAAGGCTCCTCATTACCACACAACACTACAAATGACAAGTTAAGTCTAACAATAAGGGGTTTATTAAAACCCATCTCCATGTCCTTACTACTTAAGATAATGGGTGTACCTATTTCTCCTGACTAAACATAAGCTGACAGCTGCCCAAATTAGTAATCTTTGCTCGTTTTATTTTCCTTTTTTCTTTAAAAATGCAACAAACGTTTGACATATCAAAAGTTAACCTTAAAGCGTACAAAATAATCTTGTGAATTTCCCTATATATATAAAAAAAAGTGCAATGTTTTTGATGCCATACTACTGTTACCATGTGAATTCAAACCTGTTTCCAGCAGCTGATGTGGCAGTGCTAATCTACATGTACAATATCTGCACGAACAAAATAAAGAATTAAAAAAAAAAAAGAGTGACTGTCAGCATGGGAATAATTTGACTTTTGAAAGGTTAATAAAAAAAATTTGTAGAACCATCAGGCCCCGGAGCTTTTCTATTTACAAGATTGTTTATTGCTAGTTCCACTTCTTCAGTAGATATGATCTTATTTAGGCTCTCTTTTTGAGCTAACGATATTTTAGGTAATTTAACGTTATTTAAATAATCCTCTAGTTGTTCTTTATTCGGACTAAAATTTAAATTAGACAATTTCTTATAAAAGTCTCTGAAGCTGTTCGCTATATCCTCTGGTTTAAGGATATTTTTGTCAACCACTAATTTGAAAATTTTATTTTCCAAATTTTGTTTTTTTAATTTGTTGGTGAGCATAGCATCTACTTTATTAGACTTGTAATAGAATTTGATGTTTAACTTATTTAAAATATTTTCTATCCTTTCAGAGATTTTTTTATTAATCTTTTGTTGAATTTCCTTGATTTTATTTGCTCTTTCGGGTGAAAAATTGTTTTTGTTTGCTGTGGATAGATTATAGAATTCGATATAGAGCTCTGAGAGCTTAGATTCTCTCATATGTTTGTTTTGACTAGCTATTTTAATGAAGTATCCCCTTATTACTGTTTTAAAAGAGCACCAGACACATTCCTTAGATACAAAAAAGACAAAAAACTAGTGTATAGGCGCTTCGTAAATCTAAAGATAAAAGTGGTGAAAGATATAAAAGTGTTTCCCCAAACACAATAAAACGTGAATAACAAAGACAAAATGTATATCAAACCACACAACGTGAAAAGGTAATAGATATGCAAAAAATACAACCTGAGCTTGTCAGTATAATCAGGTGGTATATTATGCAGAGCCGTCCCAGGCTCTGTATTGTAGGCTCAAAGGTGCCAATACAGGCAAACGAAATTCCCAGAAAGTGGATGGAGAAGTTGCTCAAAAGATATATATTTATTAAGTAAAATTCAAAATTATAAAAGCTCGAGGTAATAGGGGAGTGGAATCCAGACCATGCAAACAAAAGGATATCCACTTACCCCAAACAGCAACCAAGAGCAAGTGCATAGAATGAACACAAATAAAAATAATAATAAAATACAGCTGGGTAACAGCAGCAAGCAGCAGACGCGTTTCGGCTATACAAGCCTTCTTCAAGTGCTAGTATTGGGGTCTCCGGAGCTTCCTTAAATACTTTACTACTTTAATACTTTTTTGTAATGACTTAAAGTATTTAAGGAAGCTCCGGAGACCCCAATACTAGCACTTGAAGAAGGCTTGTATAGCCGAAACGCGTCTGCTGCTTGCTGCTGTTACCCAGCTGTATTTTATTATTATTTTTATTTGTGTTCATTCTATGCACTTGCTCTTGGTTGCTGTTTGGGGTAAGTGGATATCCTTTTGTTTGCATGGTCTGGATTCCACTCCCCTATTACCTCGAGCTTTTATAATTTTGAATTTTACTTAATAAATATATATCTTTTGAGCAACTTCTCCATCCACTTTCTGGGAATTTCGTTTGCCTGTATTGGCACCTTTGAGCCTACAATACAGAGCCTGGGACGGCTCTGCATAATATACCACCTGATTATACTGACAAGCTCAGGTTGTATTTTTTGCATATCTATTACCTTTTCACGTTGTGTGGTTTGATATACATTTTGTCTTTGTTATTCACATTCCTTAGATAGTTCTGGAGTAAAATGTTCTTTAAAGAATAGATCTATCAAATTTGAAATAGTATCGATATTAATTTTGTTCTTCAATAGCGTGTCATCTAATTTCCGGATCATAGGTGGTCTTTTATTTTTATCTTCTATTTCCATTATCACTAGGTCATGGTCTGACCACGTATTGTTTTTAATTATGATAGAAATAATAACATTTGAAAGTTTAATATCCCCTAAGATCATATCGATTCTAGCTGCTGATTTATGCGGAATGGATTTATGAGTATACTCTTTATCATTAGGATTAAATAATCTCCAACAGTCATATAATTCATATTTTTTAATAGTTCTATTCATTGATGCTGCTTGTCTTACTATGCTTTTATCAATCACTTGACCGAGACAAACTTGCTTATCCATTATGGGATCAAGTATACAATTAAAACCCCCTGCAATTATTAGCTTCCCTTTTTTAACTTGATCAACTAATCTCAAAATTTTATTCAAAGTATAGATTGGATTTTTATTGGGTAAATAGACATTTACTAATGTGTACTCTACTCCATCTAAAATGCCGACTAAAATAATAAATCTACCTTCAGAATCTAGATTCGCATACTGACAGTCAAATTGAACCTCTTTAGAGAAGATAATAGATACACCACATTTCTTTTTCTTTGGGATAGAAGCCTCATAGATTGTAGGATATTTTTTTAAATGCAATTTTTGCTTTGAATCAGCAATCCAGTGGGTCTCTTGAATGAAGCCCACTCGGATTTTTTCTCTGATCAAGGTGTCAAAAGGCATACCTCTCTTAACATGGGAATTAAGACCTTGTGCGTTTACCGAAATGAATCTAACCATTGTCAATTTCTATTTTCCTTCTCTCCCATATTAAGACCGAAAATGTTTCCATCATCCACACACTGACATTCATACCACATATAATCGCAAACATTACACTTGGATAATCCAACATAATCCAAGTACTGGGTTCCCTAAAGGTACCCTGGGGGAAAGGCAAGACATCCCGGAATGTGAAAAAGACTAAACGTTCAGAAGATTGAAAAATTGAAATAGAAAGAAATCCGGAGACGTTTCTCCTCATCTTCTAATTTTCCTTCGTTTAACATATTGTGTTTGGGAAAGAGAAAAAAAAAACAAAAAAAAAAACTTCTCTTATTCTGCAGAATATTAAAGTATGATGTAATTTCCATATTACTGATATAACCTATACAGTCTCCTTCTTGTAATCTCTTACGTGACACCTACAATTTATTACTGAGGCACTGTATCGAGAGAAGAAAAAAAAAACACACATTCTCTTAACCCCACCTTTGTTTCCATTAGTTATTTTCTGTCAATGAAGTGTTCTACTTGTGTCTAAATATTCATCTTTCATAAATTATTTATATTCTTTCATTCTTGCAAACTCCTACATGACATACAATCCTTATTAGGAAGAGTTATAATAGACCAATTATCTATGTGATCCTATTATTAAATTGTAAGACATTAAATATGTCTCGTTTTAAAGTCTTTCAGTGTCAAAATAAGTGTCAAAATCTCCCTTGAATTCTTGCAAAAAAAAACAACAAAATTGCCGCACATGCGCATTAGGTCTCCCCGGCCGCCGGGCGGGATCAGTCTCGCCCACCAGCCGATGTAATGCAGAGGAGGAGTGGCGGAGGAAGAAGCAGCGACGTGGGACATGTCGCTGCCTCTGGTAAGTGACTGAAGGGGTTTTCACCCCTTCAGCAACCGGGGATTAGGAGGTAACGGATTGTTTTCCTGGCACTGGAGTTTCCCTTTAAATAAAACTTCAGAAATACAAAGGAGAGGAAAGTATTTGATCCCAAGGTTGATAATTTTCTTGTACATTAAAGATAATGGACTAAATATGGGTTGTGACTTCTTGGCACACCAGATAAGCTTTATGAGTACTTTGCTCTTTCTCTTAAAGTCGGTGTATACTTTTTACACTACAAACATGTCCCTAACACAGGCTTGTGTATTAGTCCCCCCCCCCCCACCTCCCTCCCCCTCTTTTACTTGCTATCTCCTCATCTAACTCTTGTTTTCTTTTCCTAATTCTCCCATCCCAGGGCAGATTTACAAAAACCTTGGAATAGTTTTTTTGCTGCATTAACCTCTGAACTGCAGCTGTTCTTTAGACATGAAAAGAGGAACACTAAAGCAGGGGTGCCCAAAAAGGAAGATCCCTAGATGTTTTAAAACTACAATTCCTGCAATGCTTTGTCATACTAAAGGCATGCAAATTATCATGGGAGTTGTAGTACTACATCTGGGGAATTTTATTTTGGGCACCCCTGCTCTAAAGCATGTCACTGCAGTGCTTTATTATTGTACATCTCATCTCAGAAGGCAGAGCAAACAGCCACACTGCTTACAGTAACCTACAGCAGCAGCTACACTAGTGGCGGCTGAGCTGCGGCACTAACCTTTGGTGCTCTGCTTACCTACAAACATTTGACTATACCACTCGAGCCTCCCATAGAAGTGAGGTAGTGCAGGGAAGGTCATGGAGATCTTTGGATCTCCCTGCTGTCTCCTGCATCAGCAGGGGCACCCTCCAAGAGTGCAAAGAAAACAGTATATGTGTACACAAACCAAAGTGCAATAAGTGCCTAATTAGATACAAGCAGAAATAAACTTCCCTGTACAAGGTGAAGCTTCCAATGGTATCCCCAAACTTCCTCCTGTCTTCCACGAAATATCTCTAAGAGACTGCATTCCAGCAGCATTAGGGTATGCCTGAGCACACCTCGTGCATTACCTGTGAGCACCATTCATCACCCTTCTCCTCCAAAATAGTTATATTCTGGACTTCAGCACATGCAGGACACATCCACAGCTGCAGATAATAGATTTATAGGTCCTCCTCACTATTAGGGTGTCATACCTGCTCTTTTTTTCCTGGTATCCACCGAAGCTTCTGGGCACATTCTCCTGTTTTCCACGCCAGCCACAATGACTTTGGAAGTTGTTTCTAAGTTGGAAATGATGCAAAATGCTCCACCATAGTTCCCCTTTATTCCTATCGTGGCCCAAGTCCCGTGTGGGCACTTTGCAAGTACTCTATACCCACACTACTAGGGTCACATTCTTTTTGGTGTCATGTGTGGCGCAAGCTATTAATTGGAGACCTATAAGTAGCCCTTGTAACATCTCTTCCCTGCCGTGTCGTGGGTTTTAGTAGCCCGAGAGTGCATTCCTTTAGTTCTTACATTTCTGGTATTTGACTAGGCTTTGCACAATAATCGCTTATTCTGTATTCTGGTATCCCTGACCCTTGGCTCTGTTTTACTCATGTATTCGTCATTCTCTAATCCTGACCTAGGGCTGTATTTGATTATCCTATGTCCTATACTTTCCTTACGTAAAGCATGGCCACTGTAAGATCCGGGTTCTACTCACCTCACTGTTTGCATGTTGATGTGTCTATTCTTGATATAAAATGAGGGGATAGGAAGGGAAATTTAATCAGGGAAACTAGGGACTTGGGGACTCCTAGACTCCCCAAAGGGGAATCAGTTTGCTGTTAAAGGGACACTGTATGCACCCAGACCAGTTCAGCTAATTGAAGTGGTCTGGGGGCAATGTCCCTTTTGCATCTAGTGCCGCAACGTAAAAAATTGCAGTTCCAGAGAACTGCAATATTTACATTGCAGCACTAAGTCTGCCCACAGTGGCTGTCTACCAGACAGCCACTAGATGACCTCCTGTATCGAAACGTACCTTTGGTCCGGTATCTGACGCTGGATGTCCTCACGCTCTGCTCTGCGTGAGGACCTCCAGCGTAAGATTTTTACCCATAGGAAAGCATTGATCACACTTCCAGGTACCTCATATGGCATATATTGTGCCTTAACATGCCCTCATGTATGCACCAATAAATGTCAAAATCTGTGGTAAATATATTGCATTATTACCTACGCATTATATTTTGCTGGTCATTATGTGTATGTGATATGTGTTACCATGATCAACCCAACAAATGCTGAGTAAAAAACAATATGCCCAATGTATGACTTGGACCAGGCTTCCCCAAACTCCGGCCCTCCAGATGTTGCTGAACTACAACTCCCATGATTCTATGAATGAAATAGATAGGTGGGGAATCATGGGAGTTGTAGTTCAGCAACATCTGGATGGCCGGAGTTTGGGGAATCCTGACCTAGACACTATATTATGAAGATACAGTGCTGTATAAGATACGTGACCATTTCAGGTTTTTACTTGTGAATTTTCATAGATGGTGCTGATGGGTCCGTGCTCCATTTTGGAGCATTTTAGCCGGTTGGTAATTCAAACAACCCTACAAAGGTCTACTGTTTCTGAAAAAAGACACCCTTATTGTGAGACCATTTTTTTCGCTAGTTTGTACCAAGTGTAGTGGTAATAGGCATTATTGGTGGGGTACCAGATACTCCTGGGCGTAACTGTTTGTCTGGATGCCAAAGTTGGGTAACAAAGTTCTTCCCAATTAATTCCTGAATATTATCCCTTAATAGCCTTTCAAATATTTTTCCAGTCACAGAAGTTAAGCTCACAGGTCTATAATT